AACAACAAGGAACAATGGCTATAAGCTACTGGAGAGTAGGTTTAGACTGGACATTAGAAAAAAGTTCTTCATGGTCAGAGTTGCCAGGATCTGGAATGAGCTTCCAAGGGAAGTGGTGCTCGCCACATCTTTGGGGGTCTTCAAGAGGAAACTGGACAGGCACCTGGCTGGGTTTACATGATCCCAGGTCTGGTGACCCTTTTCTTGCCTGCCGGGGTAGGGAGTCAGGCTAGATGGCCCACTGAAGTCCCTTCTGACCCTAAAATCTATGAATCTATGAAAAAAACCTAAATGGATTTATATGACCCTGTACCTACAGCAGTTTATTTGCCTGATGCTGAAATCACTGGAAATATTTAAAAAAACAGTTTTCAAGAATCTTTTATAACAAAAAGTATCAAGGAACCTAAACATGGGGCCTGTTGCCAGATCCCTCTATACTAGAACATGTCACTCCCTCTATTTCCATACAGACCTTGTAGATAAGAAGTGGAGCAACTCACCCCGCACTGCTCTGGGTCAGCTGGAAGTAGCATGGGGTCAGGCCAGCTGCTGTGCTACAGCAGCTGAGTGCCCCCAGAGGAGGTCAGCCTGGAAGAGTGCAAGGAGCAGTGCTATCCTCCTCTGGAGGAGAACCAGGAGGGTTCCCACCACAGAAGAATGCCCCTCTCCTGCCAGTCAGCTGATTGATGGAATCAGGGAAGAGGGCATTCTCTCAGGGCAGCAATCCTCCTCAAGCTGACCAACTGCTACTTGACAATCTGCCTCTTCCTAGGCAGGGGAGATGGTGGTCTGTGAATTAGTGGACTGTCTTCATTGTGGTAGTGTCCCAGAGAGCAATCCTCTCATATCCCCTGGCTGGAGAGCTTGCCTGTGAATGTCTCCAGCCATGGGGCCGGAGGAAAGTCTGTTCAGTCCAACTGCCAGGCTAATTTGTTACCGGAAGAAATGAACTTCTGTATGCAGCCAGAGAGATTACACCATAGACAAGAATGGCTTTTGAGATAAGGATAATCTTTTACATAAACTAGCTTGTCTAAAACAGGGTAACTGATAAGTCCTGTGTTCAACCGGAGCGTGATATGCATGAAGGTCACTCCAGGATTTAAAAATAACTAAGATGTCCTAAACTAGTTGGTTTTTAGGGCTGTGCAAAATTTTGCCAGCTGTTTTGACTTATTTTGAGCTTGAAACAGCGAAATCAAACAAAACAAGGGGCTTCGAAACAGCCTCAAAATGGAACGAGGGCAGTCAAAACATTTTGAAAGTTTTTAAATGTTTTGAGTTTTGAAGCTCAAGCTGGGCTTGCCTGCAGGGAAACAGAAAGTAAGGAGGTGGGGGTAGAGAGAGGGAAGGACTACTCTCATATTGACTGTGTAGCTGGCCAGTGACTGTGATCCTTGCCTGTGGTCCCTTCCAATCCCAGTGCTCTTGGGGAGGGATGGAAAAACAGCATAAATGGCAGCATTGTTTGAACTGGCCTGCTTTCTGCCTTGAGGTCTGACAGTTACTGAGCTATCTTCCAGCAGCTCAGGAGTGTTAGACAACGAAGGATATTACTCGCATTCATTTGAATGATTTCCTACTTGCTAGCCTACAATTGGGATTCCACAATAACTTTTTCTTTCTTCTAGACCCTTTTATTTTATTATTATATTAATTGATTCTTTTCAATTTTATAATTATATTAGATATTACACTATACAATTTATATAAGAAGAGAGATACATTTATATTTTATTTCTATACATTTATACCTTGTGGCATATTGCTGACACATTATAGAATTTATATAGGAAGGGAGATAGATTTATACCTTGCAGCATATACTACATACCTTATAGAATTTATGTAGAAACACAGATACATTTATACATTTGTATAAAAACAAGGACTATGAAACACACCATGAAGCATGCTGGAAAGACAGCTGGAAAGCCTTTAAAGAGGGACAGAAGAGGGGGTAGAAGGAGAGGTGTAAGCTCCCCCCCCCCCCAAGTTGAGACGCAGCCTCTTTCTTACAACTAGCAGGGATGAGCCTTCCAGAAGCAGCAAGGAGAGAGAATCAGTGCCACTGCCTGTGCCTGAGACTGCCTGTGCCTCCAAAAGCACCAGCCATAACCCCCCCACCACCACCACCACCACCACCATGACAACAAGCAGCAGCACCAGCACCAGCATGACATTCTCCTCCACCCCTATTTCACTTCCCATGCCAGAGGAAGAGCTGGATCTGGATCTGGATCTCAGTGCCCTAGCAAGGAAAATTCTGGGGAAGGAGGGAGAATCAGCTGAGTGTGTGCTCCACACCCCTCAAGTTTCCCCTAGAGCCAGGTCTCCTTCCCCAGAAGGCACTTCAGAGGAGGCTGAGGTAGAGGTTGTAGAGTCAAGTGGCTCAGCTGAGTCCTCTCCCCCTGTTGCTATGCCCCTCTGCCTGCTGAGAAGGGGGAAATTGCAGCATCCACACATGCACCCCCACTCCAGAAGCAAGCAGGTAATGTGGCCTGGGATCGTTTTAAGCTGGCAAATGATCCCAAATACGCTGTCTGCCTGCACTGCCAAACCAAAACCAGCCAGAGCAAGGGAACAAAACACATGAGCACCACAGGGATGCTGATGCATCTCTGCAGACACCACCCCCTTGCCCTTGCCCCTCCTCAGCCTGGCACTAGCAGGAGCATGCCCAAAATGAAGCCCCGCTCTATCTCCAAAGCTCCCATCCCTCCAAAGCAGAGGCAGGTCTCCCTGGAACAGTGGAGGAAAGGCAGACAGAAAAGGGGGTGCATTGCAAGGGTGAGCAAGATCACCAAGAGCATTGGGGAGATGCTTACTGTGAATGGCCATCCCTTCTCCTTAGTCAAGCGGCCAAGGTTCAGGCGGCTCATGGTGCTCGTGGCCCCATCCTACCAAGTGCCCACATGCACCACATTCAGCAGGCCTGTTGTACTGTTGTGTCCTCCCTGTATGAGGCATGCAGGAGGTACATGAAGGAGAAGCTGCACAAGGCAGGTCCACAGGTGGCCTTACAATTCACCATGTCTCAGATCTCAGTGGTCCTCACGTCTTTCCTTGAGACCACCGAGACCCTCAACACTACCAATGCCCTCCTTAGCCAGGTGATTCCTGTAGTGAGGGAACTTCAGAGCCAAATGGAGAGCTTCCAGGGGATCAGCGTTCCTGGATGGGGCAAGCTGCTGTCACCAGACATGCAGGCAGTGGTGAGGCTGCTGAAGGAGGGCTTCAGGAAATGGCTTGATCCCTTGCGGTCCAGTATGGTCCATATGCTGGCCACCATGTGTAACCCAAGGATGAAGGGTAGCATATGCAGCAGCCAAAGCCTGAATCAGTGGATGGAGGTGCTGGTGAAGAGAGTCAGGGAAGCAGAACAGCAGTGGGTGGATGTGGAAGAGGGGGATCCACTGTCCCATGCTAGCACACAATCCACCAGCCAGTCTCCTCCTCTACCACAGGGCACTGCTAATCTGGGCCGAGGGCATAGCTTCCATGGTGGGGTCCAGAGGCATCAGACCCCACAATCAGACAGGTTGCACTCAGGCCTTGTTGGCTGCCTATCTCGCTAAGGATATGGAGCCACTGCTGTGCGACCCCTTGGCCTACTGGGCAAGCCACAGCCAGATGTGGCCAGATCTGGCCACGGTTGCCCGGGAACACCTGTCCTGTCCACCAACCAGGGTTCTGAGTTAGAGGCGGATGCTGGGTATGTAGTGACATCCTACCACACCTGCTTGGATCCTGGTTTGGTGGAGGAGCTGGTGTTCCTCAAGGTGAACCTCCTGCTGCTGGGGTTCCCCAAGCTCCAGGTGAAGATGGAGTGAATGCCACCCTCCTCACTCCATCTGCTCCTACTTCCCTTTTTAATTTTGTAAAAGCCATTTAGTGCCCCACTCTCAAAGCTGGAGGGGTCACTCACTGCAACACCAGCCAGCAGGGAAAAAGCATGTCCCTGCTGAGCTTCCATGCGAAGACAAACTTGGAGGTATGAACTGGGTCTATGGGGAAGGAGGAGGCCCCAGGTCCTGGGCATGACCACTAAAACTGCACTCTGCCAGGGTTGGGGAGGCCTGGTGGTACTGCTGGTGGTGCGGCAGCCCCAGGAAATGGCAGGACCAAGGATCCTGAAAGGTGGATCCTAAAGGTGGGTAGGAGGCACCATAACCTCCAGCTATCACACGCATGCACGCAGTCCTGGCTGGGGAATGCCCAGGCCTATCATGGCTTTGTCAGGCCTGAGGCTTGCTGGTTGCAGTAGAGTTGTGAGGCTCTAGGTGAGCTCAGCTTAGCTGCCTGGGATGCCAGTTTTCAGATTGAAAAATGCTTTGTTAGGCTGAGGAAGCACCTGCAGTTAGTGTGTCTGTGTGTTGTTCCTGGATGGAAGTAATAGTAAAGAAGCCAAAGGCTGGCATGCAATGCAGGCAAGAAAGCCAGTCAGTGAAAATGGAAATGGAGGTGTCAGGGGGTGAGGGACAGGCTGGGGTCATGGGGGAGGGGATGTTGCACCACCGGTAAAAGTGGAGAGGTACCTGGGGAGTCAGATGTCTGACAGGTTGTAGCGTGTCAGAATTCCAATGTTTATATTGAGTCCATGAGTTTCTGTACCTAGGAGGCTGATGAAGTGAAACTTGGCAGACACTGTGACCTCTGAAGGGGCTACCATCTCTGCAAGTTTTTTCCAAATCAGTCAAGAAATGACAAAGTTATAGGCAGTTTCATGCTTCCCCATTATAGCCTATGGGTAAAATGTCAAAACAGCGTCGAAACAGTGAAACAGTTTTGACAAAATGAAATGGAACAGTGGTTTTGAAATGAAATGAAACTCAAAATGAAACACTGTTCCGTCGAAATGAAAGTCGAAATAGAATGGTGCTATTTCTCAGAGCCCTGTTGGTTTTGTCTGTTCCCTACAATGAAATATATTTGGAATTTATATCTATTTTGGGTGACGGGCACATGCAACTAGAGTAACATTTTATGTTTTTCAGGTCAACACCATAACCATGCAAAGATCTACAACTTCTGACACTTCCTCTGAAAAACTGAATCCTTCCCATCAAAGTGCAGGAGCTGTTCAAATGAGGATCAAAAATGCCAACAGCCACCATGACAGGCTTAGCCAAAGCAAATCCATGATCCTTTCTGAGAATGTAAAAGTCACTGAACCTGTAAGTAAAATTCCACTGGCATTTCCTGACTATTTATTTAGGATAATAAGATTATAGGAAAGTAGGGCTAGAAGGGACCTCTATAGGTCATCTAGCCCCCTGCTCAAGCGAAGATTGTCTCTGATGAAACCATCCCAGCCAAATCTCTCTCCAACCTGTCCTTGAAAATTTCCAAGCAGAAAGATTCTACATCTTTTCTAGGCAGCCTGTTTCAGTGCTTGACCACCCTCATAGGATAGGGACTTTCAAAAAGCCCGAGCCTGAATTGATTCAATCTTTGCAGGTTAGTCTAACCTGCATAGATTAAACTGATTTGCAAGTGAATAGACATTCACTTTTGAATCAGGAAATTCAGGCACATGCCTGCAGTGGCTCAGGCTAGAAGTCAGGGGGTGCTAGAATGAGCCCTTCCTTCCTTTCCATAGTGCTGAGCTGAAGGTGGCATGGCCAGGTTCAGGCAGGATGCTATGATTAGGGAGGGGTTTAAATCCCCATCCTGCCTGCACAATCTGCAGCAGGGGTGTGCCTGAAGGGGGAGCAGAAAGCAGCCTTTACCAGACTTTTCCTGGCTCACTGTTCAAGGGGCAGGAAGTGTTGCCTGGCCCTTGGCTAGCACTCTGAGGCAAAGCGGGGGCAGGGGCAGGGGCTTCATACTTTCAGCAGCAAAGTGACGGTACTCACAGGTGCCATGCATTGCATTTCTCACACCTTTCCCTGTCCATTCTTGAACACTGACAGATTGTGGCCTTTGAAGCAAGCAAGCTAGCAGGGATCTTATCAGAACACAAAGCTTATCAGACCATCAAGAAAACCAAGCCTATCTCGTCAGTTCAAACTCTTATTAAACAGCTTTTTCCAAGGCATTTGTAAGGAAAAACGGAGGGATAGTGCCAGACACACATGCAAACACCTCTCAACATGACCTAGCATGGGGCTGGTGTGGCCAGATGCCAGCTGGGGTCTGTGCCACTGGCATCCCTGCTGTGGGAGAAAAGAGATTCCTGCTTGAGCAGCAAGTAAGGGGAGGGTGGGGCAAGGCAGAGCCAGGCAGATACTGCTGTGCCTGCGGTCTCTACTTCCTTCTCAGCCAGCTGAAGCTCTGGCTAGGGAGGAAAGAGGTGGGGCCAGTCTGGCTCTCTGAAGCAGATGGCGCAGCCCAGCCCAGCCCAGCCCAGCTCAAGGCTGAAAAGCATTCTGGGAAGATGTGGGGCTCTGATTTAACTTAAACCAGGAAGGGGTCTGGGACAAAAGTTTCATAAACCAGTTTGACCCAAATCAGTTAAGTCTGGTACTACATTCAACTGGGTTTATTTTAAACCAGTTTTGGCCATTTTGAAACTGGCTTATGTGCACTGAACTTACGTTCTGTTACAGGTTTAAACCAGTTTCTGATGACTTAAACTGGTTTATGTGCAACTTCTGTCCCTAGCCATTGTCAGAAATCCCTTCTAATCTCCAACCTTAATTTCTTCTGCTGCAGATTGAGGCCATTGATTCTAGTATTGCCCACGATGGCCATGGAGAGAAGCCCATCTCTATCTGCTCTGTAATCACTCTTCATGTATTTGAAGAGTGTAATCAAATTCCCCCACAGTCTTCTCTTCTCCAGACTAAATAACCCTAGCTCTTTCAGCCTTTCCTTATAAATTTTGCCTCCCTGGCCCCTAATAATTTTTGTTGCTCTGCACTGGACTCTTTCCAATCTGTCCACATTCTTCTGGAAGTGTGGACACAAAACAGGACACAAAACAGGACACAAAACAGGATCCAAAACCAGGTGAATAGTATACTTGTACTTGTTGAATCTTATCTGGTTGATTGTGGACCATTTTTCCAGTCTGCCCAGGTCATTCTAGATCCAAGCCCTGTACTTCAGAGCATCTGAAGCTCCACCCATGTGGTGTCATCCACAGGTTTGCCAAGAATGCACTCAGTCCCATCATCCAAATCATTAATGAGGATGTTGAGCAATGCCAGCCATAGGACAGATCGCTGCAGAACCCCACTTGGTACCTCCTCCCAGCTAGACATTGAATGTTGAACTTTTTGTAAAACCATATACTTACCTTGAGTCTTAGTAGTGATTCTGCTAGAAATCTTGGCAAATAGGTTTTATTATGCCTACATACAATAGTAATAAATACCACTTTAAATAAAGTATGAATAGTTAATACAATAAAAACTGCATAATCTAAGGACATATCATGGATTTGGTGCTTTTAACGTCTGCTCAGGAGCTCAAATCTCAGGCCTCAACATAATAAAATGAGGTTGTGGCAATGTGTAGTGTTTACATTACCAAATACATTATATCATTTCTAAAAGCCAGAGGCTAAAACCAGGCAAAAGAAGAGGAACAGAAATTAAGTCTTAAATAAGGGAAAACTTTGCTAATGACACACACAAAATAGGCTAGTTGAAAGAATGACTGGTTTGCAAAGATCAGATACTGAAGTTATTTCAGTATTTTTACAGTGACAGAGTTGAGTTATTTTTTTAACCATTAAAAAAGATTTAAAATAAAATAGTTAGTGGTGAACTCTATTGCCAATTTTGTCCCTGCCCCTATACTCATCCTGAGCTACTAAACGAACTGATTGGTATGAGTCTCCCCTGGTTAATTTTCTTCCATAATGGTGGCAACTTGCAGCTGAGGCCATATGATGTTACAAAATTATTTATGCAATGTTAGCCACTTTTTTGGACTCCAGATCCTTTTTATTGTCATAGAATGCAAATGAGTGAATGAACTACATTAGCTGGGGACAGATCCCCAAGTCTCAGTCACTCTTCACAACCATGTGAGCTATTAATTGTTCTGTTAATATAATGGATTCCTATGAAATATTCAGCTCTCTAAGCGAGGTATTAAATGGAATAAGCCTGTTACAGCAATTATATTTTTCCTATATTTTTCCCTCCAAGTTCAAAGTGAAAAATAACCCAAAACATTTCATTGGAATGGCTTATAAGAAATACATTGTTTTAATCATTCTTCTGTTCAGTTGACTTAGATTAATTTAGCTCATGGAAACAACTTGTTATATTTCTAGTGAAAAATCTCTTCAGATCTCGGTAACTGATGAGATATTCATTTCCGTATGTTTACTTTCCATTATAAAAGTATCAGTTGCCTCAAACACATTGTACATATTGCTTTGTTTTTATCCTAAGTGACATGGTCTTCAGTTATGAACTTGAAACAATGTTTACAGTAATTTATTGGAAATACTATAATGCATTATCAGTTAGAACTGTACCTTTGAAAAAGTTTAAAAGTTAAGTATATTTAATGATGCCTAACATATTTTATTGGCTGTGTTTAACAAAAGGCACTAGGCTGCAGTTGTTTTTGACAAGCATGAAAACATCACAGCATGAGACTGCAAAAGGAATTATGTAGAGAAATTACAAGTGATCCATCTCTCAATGAATTATCCACCTCAATAGCCTGCAGAACTCAGCTACCAATTAACACCTACTTTATTACATGTTGGGATGTACTTAATAACTTTCATGTGTTTATGCACTATTACCTTGACTGATGCCTCTTGTACAATTAGGCATAATTGGCATATCAATATGCAAAAGTTAAAAGGATTAACCCTCTTAAAACTAATGAGCATTTCTGTATCCAGCTGCTAAATGAGACAAAATTAGCATTTTTCACTTTTGGGCAGGATTTTATCATGCAGTTTCTCATTGTTGATATTACCTTGTTACATAACTTTAGTTTTGGGGATAGTATGCTGGACTGTTACGGAACAAGGGTTCTAAAAAGTTAAATTAGACATAAATATTCACTGCTACATTGCCATAAGCATAGCAGGTACAATATATGTTCATTGATAGGCAACTGAAAAGTTGCTTTGTGTGTTGCATTTGTTAGTAGCTAATTATAAAGAGTGGTATATTACTGAGTATATGTCATTTTACCAAGCAAACTTGGCTGTAATATAATAGATTGAAAGCTTGCCATGCTACTAATTTCCTTTCTGTTTCAATTCTTTTCATCTCTTTTTTGCAACGCAGAATTTTCTGACTAGATATTGACAGACTGAAAAGTATTTTGGCATATTTACTCAAATAAGCCTCTTAAAGTTATTTGCTAAACTCAAACTAAAAGCACAATTCTTAAAAAAGAATTCCAAACATTTTGAATTATATGCTCAAAATGCAATATGATTCAAATGCAAAAGAAATCACAGAAAAATCTGTATCACTTGCATGTTGACATATCAGATCCTCCATGCCTGATTTGTAAAGGATTTGGGGGAGGTAATGGAAGAAAGTTTATACAACCTTGTGTTTATCAAGCACTTTGAAAGAATGAAGAGTTCATTCCAATTTTTGAGTAATGTATTCTTGTTCTGTAAATCATGAAATCCTCTTTCAGTGCTCTTAAGTAAATAACCTCAATTTTGCATCTAGAGAAACACAGAGCACCGCTTAAAGATACATATACCAATATGCCAAGTGAATCTAATTATATTGTGTTGCAAGGCAAAAAAGGAGCTATGCAGTTTTCTATCAACATAGAATGTGGCTCCCTGTTATGACACTTAGTGTATTTATGCCATTCATTGATTGTATTAATTATCTATTCACATAGACTATTTTTTATCTTCAAATTTTACACTGGTTTTTAAACATTGAAATAATTGCAAGAAAGACTATGTTACTGTATTGCTAAGCTAGCAGAAATGCATTAGGATTATCTACTAATCTATACTCTATTAATAACATCTTTTTTTGCTATTGATCATGGGTCATATCTTCCTGGCCTAAACCATGGAATACGCAGGAGTGTCTCATGGGTTAAGGCAATCAAGATGGACACATGTTGGCACAACAATCAGTAGGAAAAATAAAATGAACCCCCTGATCTTTCATGGAAAAATCAAATACATTTATAAAAGATATTTTGTGATTTATAGACAATGGGATATGTAATTTTGTGTAAGTGATTTGTGGTGTTGTAAAGCACTGTGTTACACTTG